CACATGAGTAGGTAGTTCTCTTTCAGAAATAGGATACTGGAAGTGTAGGTTTGTTCTGATGGCTCTCTCCTGGAATGAAGAGGAGGTGGAGGGGTATATATAGCCTCCACACAAAATCTAACCGTTACACACAATTTACCAAACTCGGTGGGATCGAATCGTTAAACTCGGTCAGACCGATTTAGCAAATAATGTGACCGTTAGGGTTTTCGGTGGGACCGAAATGCAACTCGGTAGGACCGATATGGTTAGGGTTAGGGCATAACGTAATCTCGGTAATACCAATTACACAAACTTGGTGGGACCGATTTTGGTAATAAGCTTTCCAGAGAGTTGGTCAGGTAAACTCGGTTCGACCGATTATCAAACTCGGTGGGACCGATTTTGATAATAAGTTAACCAGAGAGTTTGCATTGTAATCTCGGTATTACCGATTGCTCAAACTTGGTGAGACCGATTTTGATAATGGACATACACAGAGAGATTACAATCCCATCTCGGTGAGACCGAGATCCCTATCGGTGAGACCGATTTGCCTAGGGTTTGTGGCAGTGGCTAAGACATCAAAACTCGGTGGCGCCGGATAGAAAAAATCAGTGGGGCCGAGTTTGACTTTAGGTTTAGGACATATGTGGATGTGAGAAAGTGGTTGAGGGTTTTGGAGCATATCACAAAGCACATGAAGCAAGAGGCTCATTAAGCAACACCTCATCCCTCCTTGATAGTATTGGCTTTTCCTATAGACTCAATGTGATCTTGGATCACTAAAATATAAAATGAAGAGTCTTGAGCTTGAAGCTTGAGCCAATCCTTTGTCCTTAGCATCTTGAAGGAGTTCCCACATCCTTTAGTCCATGCCACTCCAATGTTGAACTTATCTGAAATATACTAGATAAAAGTGTTAGTCCAACAAGAGATATGTTGACATTAATTACCAAAACCACCTAGGGAGCACTTGTGCTTTCAATATACTACTATCGCCATACCCATACGGGCCCGCTAGTCGGGTTCTAGAGAACTACTCCCTCCATTCCAAATTACTCGTCGTGGTTTTAGTTCAATGGGAGTATGAATCAGCTTGAAAATCTTGTCTTTCTTCGCTGCCACACATAGATCAAGGCCGGCCTTGATCCTATGCATCGCCTGCACCGGCGTGGAGGAGATGCCTCTAAATATCCACTCATTCTGCTCCTTTCGCGTGTGCCACCACACCAACTGGTAGAGCGCAATCCATGCCTGCCAGTGAGTGGTAAAAGGCCTCAACCTTGCTCACACCAAGGGGTGACAGAGCACCACAACATAGAGAGGAGCCTGCAAAGGGTCAGCATCAACCGCCAAAGATCGGAGCTGAAGGAGTAGGCCGCCAGGTGGGTAGCGTCCTCCGGCGAATTGCTGCAAAGGACACAGACTGGCTCGTCGCCATCCTCGCTTGGCAAGGTTACCAACTGTGAGATAACGACCCAGGAGCGCCAATTAGGAGAAGATCTTGCAGCGCAGAGCGGCATCAGATTTTCATATCAATGCCTTCAAAGTTGAAGCGCAGACACCCCTCGAATCGGATGGAGTAGGCCGATTTAGCAGTGTATTGGCAGTTTGAGGTCCACTTCCAGCTAACATAGTTGGCTTCATCATTGAGAACCACCACACCCATCATCGTCCAGAGCACCACAAATTTACGCATTGCGGCAACCAGCAACGTCTGCCTCAATTTTCTGGTCCAGGCGTTATCCCGCAACACTTCAGCCACAATTAAATTCTTCCACGTGCAAGAGGAAAAAAGAGATGGGGAAGCATGCTCGAGGCTCATCCCCTATGCCATGGCTCCATCCAGAATTTGATCGTGCAGCTGTCCCCAAGGTGAAGACGGGCGCAGACGTTGAACAAGGAGCAAACCTTATGGTTAGTTTGGGGTTGCAGTTGCACCCATGACTTGTCTTGTTGTGCTGATTGTTGCCACACCACCTAGAGCGAAGTGTGGTGCTTCCCTTTTTACTTTTTAGTGCATTTAGTTTCTTTTACTGCTTGTTAGGCTATATAAGTTTTGGAGAGTTCATCTTCTTGTATCCCAGTATAAACCCTAGCCGCCATGTTCTGGATGGCGTGAATTGCGTATCTGAAATCGACTAGAATCTCTCGTGATGATCCTTTGGTTTGGCTTTTACCTAATAAATCCTAGAGTAGTTCATCGATAGACTAGTAGAGCATGACAATTGCTACTCAGAGCAACAGTTAAAAACCACGACGATTTCATTCGGTGGCAGTTTAGGTAAGGGGCTTGTTTCTAAAGATTACTTCCCTAGGGTAAAATCACACCATCCCTATTTTGTTCAGTGTGCTTCCAATGGTGGGTGATGTTGGCGGCGATGCACGGCCATGACAGGATCGACGACATAGTGGTTGCTTATGGTTCAACCATAGTAAAGTTCCCCACTGTACTCCAAGATATAAAAAATCTTTCACATTGCCTTCCCATGTTGGCTCTAGTTACCTATTATTTCTCTTAATTGTTATGGACAATGGCGAGCACTCTGTTGACACATATCTGCTAGAGCTTGAATCATTGCAACTAGACATCAAACAATTGCGGAAGAGGATAAGCAGGAGTTCACTGAATTGACTGCTACTATTGTAAGAAGCTTCTTTATTGTTTAGAAAAACTTTGACACCATTCAGAGAATTATTGCCAAATTTCTTGCAACTATTGATGCACGAGTGGGAAAACGTGTGGATGAAAAATTACCCCTGGAACTCCTTTGTTCGCACGCTAATGGTACTTAATGTGCTAATAAAAGTTCACCTCTGCAAATTAATTTTCTAGTATTGCTGCGATACCTGAAGGTATTGTTTACCCTACTGTGGGCTCTGCTAAATTATATCACCACCCATGCAAATATCTTAATTGGGATGGCACTCATAAGGTCCCTTACAGACATCCAAACTTTGTCCAAAAGCATCAAGTAAGAAATGCACAAGTGCAACGACAACCAACTAATGTAGCTCATGCTAACATGCAACATGTTGATCTAGAGCAAGAAGCTGGCCAAGGAGAAGGGCAAAGAACTAACACCAGTCAAATAAATCAAAATTATCTGGAAAACAACATGAATCGTCCTATAGTCAAACCTGCAAAGTTAAAATCCCTAACTTCGAAGGACAAGGTGTTGATTCCCATTGAACAATATTTTGATGCAACAGGAACTCCACTAGAACAGAGAATTGATATTGCCACAACATATTTAAGAGGAGATGATTTTCACTGGTGGAGAGACACTAGATTCTTTGCCAAAAATCTACGTTTGCATAGATTTTGCAGCTACATGACTGAAAGATTTGTAGAGTCTTCTATTTGTGATAAAGTTACGAGTTTCCATTTACTAACTCAAACCACTATTGTGGCTGCTTACATTCAAAATTTGAGTGTGGAGAAGAACATGTAGGGCATACACGAAGAGAATTAAATGATAAAAATACAAAAAACTAAATTTGATTAATGGTTACATTGTTTTGTTTTTTTCATAACAATATATCCTATATACCTAAATAGTTTATCCCACTAACTCAATTATCTTGGCATGGAACTATGGCAACTCACCATGGCATCATGCATACCTCCACTAAATTCATTTTTTCTCAACATGCAACTATGGCAATTATCATGCCACCATGCATGGAACATATCCACCTTAACATGCACCATGCATGTTACTTACAAATGGTATAGAACTATATAATAATCAAAAATAATATATTATATGTACTTTAGTTTTTATCATCATATTGCTAATCCAAATACTAAAGTTTCATGCTGCCAAATGTCTTAGAAATATCTGCACCCAATTCCCACTGCAGCGCGTGCGGTATTTTGTGAACTTTTTAATGACAATTCTGGAGCAAATGGTGGATGAAGAGAAGACTACTAATTATAGAATAAAAATGAAAAATGAAAAAATGAACGATCAAATTACAACTCCAGAAGATTTAACTGACAAATCTCCAAAAAAGATATCAAAGTAATATTTTGAATCAATAAAAAATATATGATATGTATAATTACAAGGTTTCGAAAAGAGGGCTCAGACACAGTGAAAATAATGTAGGTGGAGATTGGAGAGGAAGTAGGAGTGGGTAGAAAGATGTGAATTTGTATATTGCAAGGTACAATGGTTAAGGAGCATGACGATTGCCATAACAAAAACCACATGATGTCATGTTCAATGCATATTTCTGAATTAGAACAATTGTTTAATCAACTATGTATTTCTCATATTTATGTGGCAATGCACGGGCATTCGGTTGGTATTAGGTAGAGATAGAGATAGATATAAGATATGTAATGCAATGCAATCTCTCTCCATGCAATATTCATATTCCTAGCTTTCAGTGATGACAATTATTAACTGACTGAGAACGTAGTGGCTACACCCAAGTTCGGTGCACCTCATGATGAATGGTAAAATCAAAACAAATATATAAAAAAACCAAAACTTCGTGGCATTGATTGTGAACGAATTTCATAGGTGCTTGCAAAGTTTGGTGGCCAAATAACATCAAATTATCTTCGTAAAAGTGAAATACAAATTCTTCTCAAACAGTGCACATACATTTGAGGAAACAAATTCGGAGCTCGTCGGATGTCATTTGGCCACCAAATTTTGCAAGCACCTTAATTTTTTTTGTCATAATCGAAGCTACAATACTTCAGACTTTTTATTTGTTTTGATATGTTTTTGGTCATGGGTGTAGTGTGGGTGCATCCACCCGGGGTATAGAAAAACATCCTCTGACTGATTTTGATGCATGGCAACATTTGATCCACAAATAACTTCGGTACAATGTTGATTACACAATGTAATTAAAATGTTGCTCGGCTGGCAGCAAAACCATTATTTTATTCAAACTAGTACCACAAAACTAAGCCAAACTATGCTAGTTAGTGAACGAGGGGGCACCCCTCAACATAAACTCCTGGTTCGGTAGGGCATGTGGCTAGAGGGCAATGATCAGAGACAGATGAACCCCACCAGTTGACGCCATTGATGCCTCGCATCTGAAGAACCAACATCGTCAATAATGCCATTGCAGCAATGCCGGTGTCCATGGCGACGGAGAAGAGTAAGCTGTACCTTGCCCACAACTCTTTCCCATCTCCGGAAGATGATGTAGTTAAAAATGAATCCCAACACGAACCAACATATGTAGTTAACTGCTCTAGCTGGAGGCATTTTGGCCCCTGGCATGAAGAGAACTGGCACGAGGATGAGCTTGATCCACTTCTTTTCGGGGAACCGACGAGCAAGGATCCAGACAGGTATTGGCGCAATATTGCCGATCAAGAAGAAATAAACCAACTTTGAGTACACACCTTTAAAGAACATTTGCCTCGGGCCAATAAGACCCCAAACAACCATTTCGTTGTAAATCATTCTGGTACTGGGGCATGTCCATGGACTTCCTCTGGGCAATAGCTCCGTGCGGCACAAATCTTTGACAGTGGAAAATAACCACCATGTCACTACAAAGTCTGAGGTGGTTGCTAGGAACGTACCAATGACCTGTCCAAAAAATTTAGGTAGAGAAAACTGAGCTAGGTACCAAATAATATACTCAAAGGCACAATCCATGGGCTTAAAACTAAAAATGGCCTTGTAGACTCAATAGTCAGATAGGCATGCAACTTCTATTTACTCATTCTGTAGCCTTTCTTTGAGCCGTCGGACATAAAAAACTCTGTTGTTTAGAAAGTTTAAATAGTCAGCTATAGCGGTTTGAGCAGGGCATCGTAAAATGGTGTTCTTGTAGAATTGTCCGGTAAAGTTATGAAATAGCCGGCTATAGCTGTTTTGGAGGACTGCCGCTATAGGTCGCTATTTGACATAGGCCGCTATTTAAAACTATGGTTTTATATCCATATTCGATTAATACTTGAATAAAGTAGGGAACCATCTATCTCTTCCGAAAACCATCTCCTCCTACATATTGCCCATGTTATCCCCAGTAGTACTAGTACTGATTGTAAAGAAAATTATGGTTAGTATGTTGTTTTACATTTGGTGTTTTAATTAATAGCTCTGTGAGATATAAGCCGAACATTTGGTATGTCACATAATGCATTTTTTAAAACCACGAATTGCACATGGTTAGTCAAAATTGTGTGTGGTGTCGCCGCATACAATTCAACATAAGTAAATGTGTGCGGCATGCTCCAAGGTAGATAACCGTTTATAATTAATGACCGAACCAACACACTTAGTTATTTTTAGCGGCAAAGGGACTTAATTTATTCAAAGCTTAACATAGTTGGAATACATGAAAAAATGGTGGGAGTCCCAAACCACGCATACATGCCGGCCAAACTCAAGCGAGGAAGAAGCCTTTCCCCACGCATGAGAATCACCATTCGATTCCCGGTGCTCAAAGCAGAACACCACGTCAATGAACTCCTTCCTGTGGTATATTTCTTCAAGGATCGCTCCATAAACTACCAAGGCTTCATTGTTGATGTTGGACACTACTTCAAGGTAGTTAGGCACAGTAACCATCCTGAATATATATGTAAAGGTCCTGATCCATAGCAAGCACTTCGTTTCACGCATGCGCTTCCAGGCTTGCCGGATCGACTAGGCCATCGTAGATTACAACATAAGCTATGAGGAAGAGACCAATACCCTCTTTTCAAACGACAACAGCTGCTCCCTTATCACCACTAGATGACCTATTGCGCCATCGGCGTAGAGACCAACAGCGACTCAGAAGTTAAGCGAACTATTCGAAGGATTTTTTCTCAACTTCCTCCTAGTGATTATGTTCATATAGTGTTTCTATTGGCCTTAATGACGATTATTGCTCATAACTTTCTTTGGCTATTTATTTTTGATGTTCCGGCCTCTTTGATGCTCTGGCCTTTCCTCGTATGGTAATTGCGACGAAAAAAGAAAAAATGGAAAATTAGTTGAACCATCTGAAGGAATTTTGTGATGAATTGCCTGCAAGTAATTATATTTGTATTCTTTTGTAATTGTCTTGTATATTTACCAATGACATACAACAACAATCATTATCTGGGTGCTTCGCTGGCCGGCCAAGGCAACCCAAGGAACAGATCGACAGAAAACCTGACCTCACCCCCACGGCAACTAACCTTAACCATCGGAACAACGAACCCCACCCGACCAATCCGCTAACCAACAAGGCCGCGATATTCGAAGGTCAGGCAGAGATCACAAAACACGCCTACTGAATCAGAAAGTTAGTCAATCTATGGGCAAAACATGAGATCTATGGGCTAGTCCGGTCGCGAGAGACGAGGCATGCGTCCTGCCCGCCTGTGCCCGCTCGCGCGGGGCCCTGCAGTGTCTTCGCCCTTGGCAGGCTGCTTAGCTCGCGCGAAGAGGGCACATGCGTGCGTCTAGCTTGGGGATTTCGCATTGCATTGCATGCCCGGCCTCGTAAGCCATGTGCGAACGTCGGTACTGGTGCCTCTGCTGGGCTACTTCGCTCGAGCAAAGATGGGCCCACACGTGCTCGACTCGGGTGGTGCACCCATCTGGACAGGTGTAGTTCTATTTGAGCGAGGCACTACCATGTGCCCACCTCTGTGTGGCCGTCTTGTGCGAGTCAGAGGTGTGCCAAGTGGGGTGCTTCATGGGCATTTCATTTCTCAGGTTTGATGCTTTTTTCGCTTTGTTTTTCCCGTTGTCCTCTTGCTTCTTTCAATGATATTTTTTTTCTTGTGTCCGCAGTGGTGTTTGTGTTTTTTTTTATTTCTTCCTCTTGGTTGCAGCTTCTCTTATTGCTTGTTTTTTCTTCCTGTGCACCCGTCCTTAGCCTTGCCTGCTGCTTTTGGACGTGAGGATCTTCTTTTCTAATGGCCTTGGGTTCTTGAAGACTATTCGAGTGAGAGGATCATGGTGGACGGCACAACGAGCCCGGAGGAAAACGTGGCCGACATCGAGCAGAAAATTGAACGTCGGCATCGAATAGGTTTAGCAGCTTGGCTCGCATCGTCCATGTAGGAGGTTTGCCCAACGAGCAACCATATGCCTTGTAAAACTGTGTGAGGTGAATGTTATGGTTGGATATGGCCTTCTTTTTGTGTATTTTTTGATTATTTCAGTTTATATGATCCCATGTATATGTCAGGCTGTTGTTGGTCGGCGGTTGTAACTCAGTTGTTGTGTTTGTCTGCCCCAGCTATGCTCCTTCGTCCGAGTACACGATGTGTGTTCGTCTGACTTTGTCGTTGGGGTGTATCTGGGTGTTTTGGTGTGCTTATGATCTACAGTTATCATTCATTACAATGTTGGCATGTAGTGTTGTGAGTTTTGGTTTCTTTACGTCGAATGGACCGCCAGATTTAACACGCTTTGGCATTGCAACACTGCCTTGGGCTCATGAGTTGTTATGCTTGCGCCCCACATCTCGTGTAGTTACATGTGGCAGGGGTAATTGGGCTTGCTGGGCAAGTCAGGTGTTACTCTTCTCGCTTGACCCGCACCCATTGTGTGCGTCTGTACCCAGGGTGTCCGGCTGCCCCGGCATCTTCTGCCTCCGTTGTTAGCCGGGTGCACACACCAACATTGTACGTGCAAGGAATTGCCTAGGTACACGACAATTGAGGTGATCAGTCGGCGTGGGCCTGCCGGGTATAGATATACAAGCTCGTGGTTGAATCGACTAAGATGCTCGGGGTAAAGGAGCTGACTCTAGTTGAGTTGTCCTTCCAGTCGGCAACTGACACAAAGATATTCCATGTTCATCCCAATGGTCCCCCAAAATGGTCGAGATGGTTGACAATCTTAACCTAAGTAGGAAAGCGAGCTCATGAGCTTCCTTCGTGAGAATTGAGATATCTTTGCATGCCAGCCGATCCTATCATGGGCCCACACGCTGTGGCGATGCAGGTAGGCGTGGCAGAGGTAAAGGGTAGCTTGTGCCTGCCGAGTAAGGCAGGCGTGACCTGCCCTATTTCACACACACACACCTACCTTGTACACATGTGCTCATCTAGCACCACTGTCCGGTTAACTTCTGGCTTGATTGTTTTCTGCGTATACATGCCAGGAGGAGCACCTAGTGTTTGATGTCTGGGTGCAAATAAAGGAGGCGCCAAAAAGATACAGTGCAGGTGCAAGCCATTATCCGGGCACACGACAAGAGGGGTGACTAGTTGGTGTGCGGTAGCATGATACATAGCAAAAAGGGCACCTTTTCCTAATTGTAATTGTTGTTCGTTGGTCTATAAACGCCTGTGACAGCAATAGAACGGGCAAGCAAAGCCCCTTCACATCCGAGCAAGTCCAGCGGCTGAAACATTGCATGGTACACTCATCAATGTTGACCAACCACTTCACAAGGTTGACTTTGAAAGTCGGAAGAGGCGTCCCAGAACACCCCGCTCGACCAGACCGTGACACTAAAAGGCCGGGCATATGCGATCGCTCGACTCTTCTTTGCATCGGACGCATCCTGACAGGTTGTTTCGTTCATGTGAGGTGGCAGTCAGGTTGTGCCACGGCTTCTTGCCATGGCGCTCCTTTGCCGGATGATGTGGTTTTGGGTTGGCTGCTCGAGATTTGGACTATGTCAGCCCATGTGAGCTGTTCCGCCCATGGCCGGCTGGTGGCGTACTTGCTTTGGGGGTGCTATCTCGCTCGACGTTCGCATGGATTTTTCCTTTTGTAGTGCACTGCCTCATGCTTTATCAGTCGCGTGAGCCAGGCAGGTATGCGTGGCCATGCCTAGCGGTGTGAGCGTGCGCCGGGCGGGGTGTTCGCCTTGCGCCGCATGTGCTGCCTCATATTGTCGAGAGATGCCTGCCCGGGCTCTCTGCACACACAACAACATGGCTGACTGGTTGTGTGCGATGGCCTGGTACATACTAAAAAGGCCATTTCTTCCTAATTGTGATCCCACATGCCCGAGTTAGAAGTCGCCAGACACACCCCTGAAACGACAGAGAAGATGGGTAATCACACAATGGTACCCGGCATGCCCCGCCGTTTGGGCAGACCATGACTCGGCTCGTAGCCACGCACACCCCTGGACGAAGAAGACGACTATGATGAGCAACCGCTGAATGCATAACACAAGGCACATCAGCGTGGGCTAAAAGAACAAGTAGAAGCAGCCTTTTGTTCATCATCATGACTTCTTTGTAAGCTATAACCTTTCAGTTGTCCTTCTCCCCCTCAATAAGATGTTACCGACAACGTAAGCAGGGAGACCGGCAAAGTGGACCCCATGGGCCGTGAATTGCTACATGATACATGTACCCGTCCTTATGTTGGGTGCTCGTTTTTCATGATGGAGGGCCTTTGCTGAGGGGCGGCATTCTCCCGTTTAGCCTGGCCTGTGGAATTGTGGGTTGTTTCCTTGGTTTGTATGTGCTGTGTGCCCAGTACCAAGGCGAACAACCTCACGCATGCTTTGGAGCTAGTTGGCTGCAAGAGGAGGTTACGGCTACAAAGAGGGGAATGCCAAAACGGATAGAAGGCTTTCTCCGGGTACACAACAATGAGTTCGGGTAGGCTGTGTGGTTGGTGTGGATGTGGCACCCAGGCCAATGCCCACTCGGACTATCGCTTTCTCTGTCTTTTTGATGGATATGTGAAGGCACCTTGCCCACTCGGACTATCGCTTTCATATCTTGTCAGGAACCGACGAGGCAAAGGCAAGCCACCAAGTCCGACGCCCACGAGGCAGACACCACCAGTCAGACACAGATGACGCAAAGGCCATCCACCTATCAGAGCTGACAAGGCCAGACATCTTCATCATCGTACATCGAAGTGTTAGAGGGATATGCGTAAGTATTGTTGGAGTGAAAACGTATCGCTCGACCCTTCTATTTCACCACATCGTCGCCATTGTCTACACCGAGCACTTTGAGAAGACAAGACGTGAAGACGGCGACCATTCCAACAGCTTAATCGGAGGCGGTCCACGACTTTACTGCGAATGCAATTAATCGGTAGCTTTCCAAGGCCCCGTGAACCAGAGATCTTGCAATTTTCTTTCTCCAATGAGAGATTAATAAAATGCTGTTATGTAATTAGTACACTAACACGCCTGCAATGTTTATTTCCTCGACGTGTAGAGAAATAATATTATAATAATCACCTTATTTCTGTTATTTCTCCTGTAAAACACCCCCTTGTAACTGATCTTGGCCCATCCGACATATAGTAAAACCAACATGTGGGTTTGGGGTCTCAACCTAAGTAACTTTGCCACCCCACCCCAATCCCCTTGGGCTTGTGTTTTAGTCAAGAACGTATACGAAGCTAAACGACAGTTATGCACAAACTGTTAAAAATAGGAATAAGTACAGTAGGAAAACTTTTCATGAACTTTATGTTTTCCATTGTTACCTGAGCGAAGAACAATTCTCTTGGGGGAATTTTCATGTAAATTCCAAGCTTAAAGCTTGCAAGAGTTCCTAGAGTATATTCAATACACCATGTGCTGTACAAATTAAAAACCATATTGGCCAATGGTCGTCCAGGATAAAAGTATCCAATGATGATATGTGCAAACAAACTCAATGGCGGTTGCTACAAAAATGACATCAAAATCTTGTAAGAAGTCAAAACATAGATTAAATGTCAGAGTTATCATCATAATTATTTGAGATGAAAGAAAAATCTTAGAGCATGTATAATAGGTTCTAGTCATCAGGCTATAAGATGTTCGACATCAGCAAAATCCCAGTTGGAAAAAAGAGAAGATAGGAGAGAGAAGGGAGCGGGTGCTCACCGGACTATAGCACAATCTACGATAAAATAAAGCCAGCATGCAGCCAGCGCGAGGGCTAATAACGGGCGATCCCTCCTACTCCCTCCTTTCCGGTTTGTAGGGCTCAATTCAGAAATCTCACAAACCAAGGTAGATGGTGAGTGGTGAAATACTTTTTGTAGTTTGCAAAAGCATCCAATTAATACTCTTGTTTCCTCAAAAGATTATGTTTACCAATGCATTAATTGCAATGCATGCATGCGTAAAGTACATGCATTGGTCAATTTTTTTTTAATACTTGCATGCAATGATTTAATGCACCTTGAAATCTGAACTTGTGATGGGGAACAACCAAATTGAGCCTTATAAAATGGAAAAACTAAAATTTTGAGATAAGCCCTATAAACTGGAAAGGAGGGAGTACATGCCAATCATCGTATGTTTCCTTGCCTCTCTCTCTACATGTAATCATTAAATGCTATAGCTGACTTAGAGCCTAGAAATAGCCAAAGGTTTCTGGTCCCATTGCACCCGAATTGAAAAACTAATATCAAAATGAGTCAAAACTTTCTGTAACAAACATGACTTAGTGTAACACTCGCATGAAAAGTTTCGCAAAGGAATGACTTCCGTGACTGATACTATATAAAAGTTAGCATTCACATTTTTTTTGGACTTGAATTTTTTTTGCTGAGAATACCATGAGAGTCATTATCCGTGAAACTTTTCACATGAGTATTACGCTATGACATGTTTGTTACAAATTTGTTTACGAATTTTTTTGACTCTTTTTACTTTAAAATTTATTTTTCTAATTCAGATGCATTGGCCCCCATATTCCAAAGATCCACTTCCATTTACAGCCAACCTAGCTACTATGAGTACTTTTTTCGGAAGGCATTATATGATGTGGCACTAGTATAGAGCCATCAGCATGCTGTTCTATTAGCCTTGCTCCTAGATAACTTTCCAAGTGTTTTAGTTTGGTGTATTAATGTTTGAAAATACAAAGTTTTTATTATTTGTAACTACATACATCCAAATTTTAAAGAATAGTAAATGAAGTATGCCTTTCTTCTAAAAGTTTGCGAAGCTGCAAAAGCGTAGTTATTATAACTAGGAGTAAATATTCACTAAGAAGCAGTTTTGCGCAATTGTGTAACGCAGGTGAACACACATTTACTCTACAGTCTACAGCCACTCCATTTTATATCTCTACACCAGATTTTTAGATTGCAACATTTTATCTTAGAAAGGAAGTCAAGAGAACATAAGAAAATGTATATTGGACTTTTTTCTTGTTGACGTGACATAAAACTGGAAATAGAAACAAGGACGTCACACCTCTATATCAATATAAAATTTCTAATTTTGCCTTGACTTGTACCTTACATTTCCTATACTTATTTGTACACCTAGAGTCAGAAGAGAATAAATATTTGTGTACACTACATAAACTCCGACATAAGAAAACCTTGGGTGCAAAGTAAGCAGTTCTGCACTGGGGTGCACGGCAGCCTACTACTAATCATAGTGAATTTATTTACTTTGATAAGATTGATCCCTATGGTACTTTGCTTCATGAATTTTCTTCCTCGCATAAAAACTATCGGAACTTTGCATAAGGGTACTGAGACTCCTTTGTAAATTTATTGCCACCAAATAGACTACCAAATGAGTACATTTTTATTCTTAGAATATGACCATATGAAGATATGTTTTTGTATTAAACCGCGAGAGGTTTGTTGCGATATGATGGCCTTTGTTACTAAGAATTAACAAGGTTTGCTAATTTCATGGCACCGGATACTTAAAGAGTTTAGCAAGCTACCTGGCAGGCGGTGGCACGAAGTGCTGCTAATGGGGGTACCAACGTAAGTACAAGCAAGCACGCAAGCAAGACTCCCCAGTAAGGAAGTTGAAGTTCATTTCCAAATCCTTCGCACGTGAACACTGCCAGACCTATCATTGATATTGTAAGACGAATAAACCACCACATTGGAATGCTTCTATACTTATTCATCATTTGCATATGAATATCAGAGCAACCTCTGCGCTCAGTTGATTGGCTTAATTGATTCCAAAATGACCTGCTCACATTGAAAATTTGGGCTCAGGTAAAATATATCTTGTTGCATGCTATTGCAAGAAACCTTCATGATAATCTATGGTTTAGCCTTTTCTCAAAAAAAAATCTATGGTTTAGCCACAACGCACTAAATGTATATTGTTGACAAATAAACATGCATATATAAAAGAGATGGTTAGCAAACTATGATTATAAAAGCAAAATCTGAAGCTAGCATACAATTTGACTTTAACGAATGTCAAGTATAGGAAGCAGGAGCTCGCACGGCACAAATTGTATTCTCTAATGACATAAAACAATTATTCGCTGCCTAGGGGGGCTAGTTATAGACAACGAATCACATATATTTCCATTGGGAAGAGATAATGTATATTACCATCATATATACCTATAGAAATAGATACGAGTTAAATGAATTTGAACTACTCAAGTCTAACAAGGCATCCATCTGTGAATGGAATAGCGCACCCGATTGCCTACGGATAAACGTGTTGTATGTAGCTATTAGTACCCACAAAAGTGTAATATATTGTATACAATTCTAGTTACATAGTACTGTATGGTGACACCTATTGGCAGACTTAAATTGGAGGTTGCTATAGAGAAAACACAAAGAGCTAACAAATTCTCAGGCTATTCAACTAAAAAACGTTCTTCTAGTAATAAGGCAACAAATTTATCTAAAAAATGGAATCATGTTACTTTCCATACCTGCCATGAGAGAGTACAATGTTTGTAAGAGATGATGCTAGAGCTGCAAATCCAAATCCAATAGAGCATGCTCGTGCAATACTCAGGTACAATTCTGAATAACTTTCATACCCATCTTGCTTAAATTGAAAACTACTTCCGTCCAATACCCTGGACAAGTTATATCTACCACCGTACACGTCGTACACTTCTGGGCTGATAATTGGAAAACTCTTTGCCTTAAATGAATTTGTCCAGTAAGCAAAAGGGACAACAATATACATGAATATAATAAATCCAACCATTGTGTTGACAATGACAAAGAAAGGGTAATATATAGGGTTTCTAGTGTAGCTGGTAGATGTTGACCAATCAAGGCCAAATGAACCAATCCCAAAACCATTTAATCCCGAGCCAAGTTGCTGAGCAATGATAGATCTTTTCCAAATTAGACAGACAACTGACACTGCACTAATAGAAGGGAAGAAGTAGCCCGGAATGATGTAGTACGAAAAACTAATGACAAAAACCATGAAGAAAAATTGGCTTCTTGATAGCTTTGCATTCGATTTTTCATCCTTCTCATGAAATGCCCTAAGTTTAGTAAATATGACAATGCTATTAGGATAAAGTAAAAATACTGGACTAAGCAAATGGGCATAAATGCTAGGGCAAACCTGAACATTGTTACGTCTGGTAGTACTTCAGGCCACCACATCTCTGAGCGATTCACAAAGGGCTTTATGAAGAAGCCAGCAAATCCATATATAATACTCTATGTAAATATCAAGAAGTTTATAAGAAATCAGCTTTAAGTTGTATTACACAAAACATAAAGTAAACACGATCCTTCTTGACAATGATTTATTAAAAATATTAGTGAAAGAAGTGAAAACAATGTACACATAATTTCAGATTCATTCCAGTAAATAAAATGCTAAGATATATGGTCCAAGAATTTGGAGGATGTTTCATGCTTACATTTGTCGTGAGTAGGAGAAAGAAGAATGCCATTGGGTGAATTGATATCCTGAAATAGGCCCTTGTGGCAGCATAAAGATTTGCTGCTGGCATGGTTCCTAAACCAGAACTGAAGATCACCGTACTCAGTAGATGTTCCTTTATGTTGAAGGGACCTGGGTTTATAGAAATCTTAATTCTGGTTCCTCGAACCCTTAGATTGGATGGAAGCACCGATGCCATGAACTTTCCGAGAGAGTAGCACAATATTGTAACTACGAAATTTGGGACACCAACTGGGTTCTGACGAAAACCAGTCATTACACTGACTAAAGACATGATGATGCAGCCTGTGATTCCGATGATCCATACTCTCAATGTCAACGTAGGGAGTGTTGGATCATCTGTTGTTGGTACAGTCAGCCGTACTTGCTCTATCGGCGATTGGTCTTCATAAAGTTAACAGGTACCATGTAATGAAAATATTAGACATTAGCAACACAAGCATATAAAAAACTTATAAAAAAGCGGCAGCTAAGATTTGCCATATTTTTCCTAGCGTCTCATAGTTAAGAGCTCGCTCAAAGCCTCCATGCCCCAACAAAGACTAGTCACTAGTGGTGGCAGAACGACTACCTTTTCTTCGGCATCGCCATTTCAACAGTTCAGCATAAGGAAAGTTTGAGTGGAACTCTACAAATCAGGCCATCTAATCCCCACACCCACGATACAGCAGAATCCCCTACCAGATGCACTCGACGCCCTTTCCCCATACACATGAACAAGGGAATCTATATATGTGGAAGAACTTGATTATTTACTCCTCCGTCTACAACCGGTCAATAGACTGACTACAGATATCACGATGTGTCGTACGATCCGAATATGATCCATACTCTAAATGTCAGCGTAGGGAGTGATGGATCATCTGTTGTTGGCACAGTCAGTAGTACTTGCTCTATCAAAGACTGGTCTCCATGAAGTTCAAATAGACCGTGCATGGGAAATTTCTATGCAAGTTATGAAAGTGGCATCTAACATTTGATTAACTAAGAGATCGCTCATGGCCTCCCTGCCCCAACGATGGTACAGTCACCGCTAGTGGTCCAAACAGTCTCCAAACAGTCTAACCGGCCAGAGAATCAGGTAGAATGGTCGTAGCTTTCCATCGCATTGCTACATAAACGATGCAGGCTTAATCACATGGAAAAAGTTTGAGTAGAGCACTAAAATTTGCCTCTCAAATCACCCCCAACCTCAATACAACAGGACCGCATTGCTACATAAGCAATGTCACATACGTTTCAAATTTTATTCATTGATTGCCCTCTCGCAAAGTTACTTTGACGATCTTTCCGTATAGCATTCAATATATCACCTCCATCTAGCATAGATGCGTTGTTTGGGACGTGGCTAAATGGAGTGCAACCGGACACTGCGTCAAATATTCGGATAGGAATATGCGCACTTCTTTGGGTTATATGAAACTACAGGAACGATATGATTTTTAACAGATTACATATTCTAAACTTCTTGCAGGTTATCTTCAGAGCAACGACATGGATCCGTACTTGGTTGCTACTCACTCCTTCGGCTTCCAGGAAGCATTTGGCTACTGGGTGCAACCGATGGGAGATGTTAGCACGGACTATCTTCAACTGGTTTGGATGGCGGTCACATATAGGATATGTCTTGATGTCCACTTCATCCAGCCGGTTGTGGCTTTGCTTTTTTTATTACCTTTCATTTTTCTATGCTCCTGATGTGAGCTGTACTTCATATACCAGACTTTGTTTTGGACGACATTTTTTAATAATATGGCTGCATGCATCTTTCGGATGCAAAGGCCGAGGAAAATCCTCTTTTTCCCTCAAAAAAATATAAATTTGAGTAATTGGTTGATGCTTCATTAATATACGGTTTAGGCTGGCATAAGGCTGCCGTTGCAGCGTCAAAAAAATGCACTCAACACTGTTGGTCCTAGGGACGAATGTAAGGAAAAAAATTGCATGCGCACTTTTTTTTAGAAATCTTTTGCGTGAACACTTTTTTCTTGAATAGTTTGGATTGCTTACTATCCTTTGTTCCCCTATATCCCTCTTCGGCCTTTTTATTAACGTGAAGCCTGAGCCCATATGCAGTTCATTTGCAAGTTACAAGCACAAAGTCCACGTAAGAAGAATGCTATGCAGCCCATCGTGATCTCTTCAAAAGAAAAAGAAAGGCCATCGTGGAAGACAAATAGGCTTGTTAGTTGCAGCCACTGCGAACGCACATATCTAAGAAAAAAATATCTATCCTCGTCTGTTGGCGAGCTCCGGAGTGCCTGAGGTAGAGGCTGGGATCGGGAGAAATATCTGTTGGCTTGGCCGACACCGACGCGGTGGCGCCTGAGGGTGCCGCCGGACCTTCCTGGAGGGTGTCGGGGCTACCCTTCCTCTCTCCTTGTCGTGTACCGGGGGAAACCCTTGGCAGCAGCGTCGTCATCGTCGCGTCCCTTCTTGGAGGTGTTGTTGGGTGCCGGCACTTCGGAGTCTCGGAGCTTGGTGGGCGATCTCCGGTGGGCGCAGCGGTCACGAGGCTTCGTCGTTTTTGTCGTTCCGCCGTTATCGGCATTTGTGTCTTTTCTTTTTTCTCTTTCCTTTCTTTTGGGCGTGTTTGTGCTGCTTCCGCCCCAGCCCCTATGGTCGGTTGTATCGGTTGGTTGCTTTGTAATACAAAGCGGGGGAAACCCTTTTTCATTAAAAAAATATATCTATCGCTGCTAATCTCTTCTCTTCGTTTCCAGGCCGCCAGGACTGTAGGCTTGCTACGGTCGGATCTTTTCATCACGCGCGGTGTCGCACTGCCATCTAGAACCGGAGAAGGGAAGGGGACGCCGGAACAGACAGACGTTGATCTAAGGACCACAGACAGAGTGCCGGTAGGCTGGACGCGCGGATGAGCGGCAACAACATGAGGGGTAAAGGTAGTTTGTTTCCACATCAGATTAGTTCGCGCCTTTACAAATAATAGAAGTATAATCATACTCTGTAGACATTAAGAATCAAATTATATCATTTTCAGTCATTTATTTGTGCTTGTGTAGACATGAAGAGGAAGAGAGCGAAAACAATTCATATATTTTTATACCCAGTTGGTCCAAGCTCTCAACCGTCGGAATATGATGCTACTGTAAACGATGTGCAACCCGACGAAGGGAACCAGCCTAATCCTAACTAAGACTAAACACTTCAATTGATGCCATGGCGTAAGCAAGAAGTATTTAATTTCAAACATATAGAATTTCCTAATACATGATATCTAATAATTTTTCTCTACTGATTGCATCAGGTCGTTATATCCAACATCTCCCTTCAGAGGAAATGATGAATATGGGGATTCCAAGATCCAAGGTAGTAGCCGAAACATAATTTACTTGTTATGCAAATTCCTAATCAAACAATTATGCCAGTAGTAAAATTTCATGAATCTACATCTCTTGTGTCATTGTCCTTCTATTAGTTTGCTATATACCTTTTCCCTCTTATCATTGTAAGAGGCGGGTTAGTTCATTAAAAATATTAGTGTAAAGGGTTAACCTAAGAGAAAAAAAAATCTCTTGTGTCGTTGTCTTTGCCCCTCCTATGCTCAAATCCTGGCTTCGTCCCTGGTCCTATATACACACACGAGCAAGGGAGACCATGTGGAAAAAACATGATGGTTTATTGCTTGACCTATATCAAATTTATATACACTAACTAGTTCGAACGGTCTCTACAGCCTGGTGTAGTCCTTCGACGTTATGTACCCGTGTGTTGCATCTGATTAATTACTCCCATACGAAAAGGTTGCATATCAAGGAAATGACAAGAAAACGTTTTCTGGAATGTTCATGCAAAAATGTTTAACAATTGTGTTTACTCATTGAAGGTAAAAGCTGGTTGGTTGAACTACTCATACTTATTCACTTCTTGTTTTTTCTAATTATTACAGCGTGGTCCTACACTGGATTCAAGCAATTGTGAAAGAAGCCAAGAAATTTGCAAGTAGTATCTGATTATTTGACAACTTTAATTTCAAGAAAGGTACGCTATATACTAATGTTTTTTATCATTCTTTTTTTACAATGATCCTCCGGCCTACATGTACAATCTTTTTCAACAAGTAAATAGTGCAGGGGTCCCTCAAGCTACATGTACAATATTTTTACTATTTAGAATGCCACATGATTGGCTTATTGATGGAGATTCCTACACCAATTTCAAAATGGCATCAAGCAAGAATATTTGCTATAGAACTCCAAAACAGTTGGCAAACGGAAATAACCCAAATGCATGAAAGAAGGAAGAACAATGTAGTATCAAGCATAAAGTATTAGCTTCTCAAATGAACTACTAATCAAATACAACAACAACAACAACAACTTTTATCAATATTGCACAATGTTATCTTCCTTATCTTTTAAATAAATTTAATAATAAGAATAAATATTCTAATCTCATCTCATGGTACTTTATTAGTATATCTGTTGTTTTGGAATATATATAGAATTCCATAGAGCTACAAGATCAGAACTTGGATTCCAGTAAATTTTGCCTTTCAAAAACAAGTTGGGACATTGATAAAACATTCATATGTAGTACAATAAGTTATAGATTTAGGTGGCACAGTTCTGCCAAAGCCAGCTCGTTGATTGAGCAATTTCAAGTATTTGATGATCCCGAAGTGCCATTTCTCTACCAACTTATTTGTGTATAAAATACTATCGCCAAGGACTCTAATAAGCAGACTAGCGATCAACGACACTGGGATGTGGACACATGGGAAATGCATTTATTAATTGAATATCTCCTCTAAAATAAGTGCTCACCCACATTTTATTACCCTCGCCTTCAACCTACCGTGCATGTGGGGTGGGGGAGGGGGGGGTGGAGGGACCAACCTAACCCTATTTAAAGCAGGATAATAAATGTACCCATCGTCCTAGTGCTCACTTGCTCTTGTCCGACGTGCATAATCATCAATTCTCAATGCAGTATGCTATTTTCCACCCAATTCTCGTCAACGTGTGGTTAGAAATATTTAAAGAGTTTTTGTATCATGAGGGGCATAAACTTAATGTAATAGTAATCATCATAGCTTTCCACCCAAGAACATGTATTGCAAAAAATATTTTCATGAGGACGGATACAACTACACTGAAACAAATAGCCTAAATGAATCTTCCTTCTAAAAGGTCTATTTATTTATTGTAATTGTTTTTTCTGGTATAAAGATTGAAGAGTAGCTACATTACATGTGACATTATTTTTGATAGTAGAGGGGCCCAAAAAGACCCGTGACTTAATTTATATTAGGACAATGACATTACAAAGCTCATAGAAGGACTCAAACAAAGAAAAATTAAGATCAAGACTAAGGGAGAACAAGCTTATTAAGGATAAGGGATTACAAGCTTATTAAGGATGGGGGCCTCTAGATCAGCCTCCCGACATTATTCTCCACCAGAAAGATTCATCGAACAATGGAGTTGGACCTCACCCAACACCACTTGCAAGGTCCGGGATGGAGCTCCAAAAGAAGAAAGAAGGGGGAGGGTTTGTGGGAGTGATGGTGGCCGAAGCAATGCCTCACCATAAATCTGGCTGAGAGGTGCCAACCCTACCTCGACTTTACCACATTAACTAGAGGAAGATGAGGAAGGGGGGTAAACAAGTTGGATCTAGATCTGACTGCCTCATTAATTGGTAGGGACCCTCCTCCTTCCTGTAGTCTAGCTGGCAGCGCCCGATGAAAGATAGAGGAAGAAGGGCGGCCGGAATTCAGCATTAGGCCGACCTCACTCAAGAACAACATGAACAAGAGGAGGGAACAAAGAAGGGGAGGATTTAGGTGTGTGCCACTAGTGCTTAATTACATGTGACATTGAGTACATGCAGGCGCGCAAAGATTAATATTTATTTTTCTAGAAATGAACATATTTTTGTGTGTATGTTTCTTAATATCTAGTACCAATTAATTGAGAGATTTACCCATGTTTTAAGGATGAATTTCCATATGGGTCAATTCAAATGGAACAACAATTTCAATACATATATAGTACGTCTTACCTTGATGCATAGAAGTTTCTTCCATTGAAGTCTCCTCTTCTCTTCTTCGTTTTTATTTTTCTCTTGATTATGAGGAAATTTTTGGCTTGCAATACCACCCATGGCCTATTTATAGCCAACGACTTTCATGTGAAATTTTAGCTTTGTCTGAGTGCCAGCTGCATATTACGTGGCTGAATTGTGAAAAGTAAGGATATAAATGTGCAACCAACGTAATTAATTATATTTTGTTTTTTCTTGCATGTGAAATTTTGGCTCTGCATGGGTGCCAACTGCACATTGCATGGAGGAGTTGTGATAAGTAAGGAAATGAGTGAAGCAAATTAGTGTAATTAATTGTGGGACCACAATAACCGGTGATAATTTGCTTTTTGGGACAGGTGTGAACGTTCCTCCTTATGAGACTGAGCCGTGACCGGTTCAACAACTCCGATTCTTATCCCACTAGCACGAGTGAGGCAGAGCACATGAGCACGTGAGGCCGAGCCCTGCCGCCGCCGATTGCACGAGATTGCTTGAGGAAAATTGGCCCTCAAACCTCCCAAATTCTTACCCATGTTACGAGAACAAAAATCCCCAAAACACGCTTCTCTGTCTACCTCTGAACCTCAATTCGACTCTCCTATCCGATCTTGTTGATGATCTACCCCATGGCGTTCGTGGTCAAGGCACAATGGTTCTTCCTTTGAAGAAGAAACTTACCATACCCAACCCCATGACAGCCAGTGTGGGGAGAAGAAGTTATCAGCACCCAGGCACTAGATCCAGAGGAGGCGACCCAGGTTGTGTCCCCTCTTTCCCACAATTGCATTGCGAGTGTGGTGTGGAAATTATCGGTCTCTGTTCATGTTTGTTACCTCGTTGGGAGATCAGAGAATAAAAAGTAGATCACACTAGATTAAAAAACGTCGCCCCCACATACCCCGCCACCATTACTAATGTACATGGGGTGTGTGGAACTTGCCAACCTTGTTCAACTTGTACCATGGAATAGCAAAGTAGGAAGAGTGATCATCTAATTTGAAAAAAAATTCCTTACCCATGTTTCATAATTGTTACTAGGGGTGTGGTGTGGAACTTCCCAGCCCCTCTTCATGTTTGTTGCTATGGAAAGTGTCGTGGAATTAACACATCAGATGTCCTAGTGAGAGGACTTAGTCGTGGAGCCATCGCAACGAGATAGCTTAAAAGGGTTAAACCGGACAAAGGACACAGGGAGTTTATACTGTTTCGGCCCCTTGCGGTGAAGGTAAAAGCCTACGATCCAGTTGTGGTGGAATTGATGGGGTCCCGATGATCAGGGAGCAAATCCGCTTTACCTGGCTCTCGAGTTATTGTTTCCTGTCCTTGAACCGCCGCTGGGTCGTCCCTTTATATACACAGGTTGACGCCTGACGGTTTACAGAATCCCGAGGTCGGATCATACATGCGTCCGGCTCGGTTTCTACCTTTTCCTATCTTACAATACAAGTTACATATCTCATGGCGGTTTACGTCTATGAGCCCTAATCCGCCCTTGGGCTCTGGACCTTTAAGTCTCTGTATTAAAGCGCCATACTCCTTGTCTTCATGGGCTTCAATACGGATGATTCCTTGTGAGTATAACCCGGCCCCTCTGGTGGTTTATACTCAGTAGTTATATCCCCAACATTAGGCCCCAGATTGATTTGAACCTGTTCATGTCAATCTTCAATACTTAGAAAAATTTCATTTTGAACATCTTCGTATCAACCTTGTAAACCGCCATGACATCATCTTCATGTGAACTTTTTAAACCGCCATGATGTCATCTTCCGAGATCGTAATAAATCGCCATGACGTCACCTGCTTATTAAAACCTATAAATACTTCCCTTTATTAATGAACCTCCAAAGACCGAGGCGACAACTGTGACACATATGCATTTTTTGGGTTCCTCAATTCCCGCGCCTGTCACTTATCCCTTCGCCTTATAAATAGGACCAGGGGTCATTTTTCCCTTTTTCCCTTTTGTGTCTCTTCTCTTCGTCGTCTTCCTCGCGTCACCTTAGTACTCGAGCGCAGCCGCCGCTGTCGACTTTTGCCTCTGCTCCAACAACGGCCGATGCATCAACCTGTTTTGATCAGAAAAACGCGGTGCCTCACTGCTACTCCTTCAACCTCTGTAAGTTTTCTTTCCCTCTTCCCCAGATCTACTGCTCGGGTTTCAGTGTTCTTCGGTGTTTGCCAGTGTTCTTCACTTGTACCTTGCTGCTACATTAGAACTTGATAAAACTCGATTTTCTCCCTGTGCGGCCGTAGCTATAGTCCATTTCCCTCATCATAGCATCCCTTCTTCAGTAAACAGATCCCATCTGGTTTTTAGCTGTTCCGCTATCACCTTTTAGGGCTTTGGAATTTTCTCCTTTTTAGAACTGTGGTAGATCCAAAATCATAATACCAACCTGTGAAACCTATTTGTGCAATACTTAGGATTTTTTTTCAGATCTGTAACTTCCACACCATTATAGGCGGTTTAACCTTTAGAAAATGATAATCCGCCAGGTACCATTAGCCCTCTCTTAAACCGCCAACTCGACCTTAATGTCAGAATCCGGTTTATCCTGTACATATGTTTTGATATCTCCTTCCCCCGGCCTGATGCCGGTTTATGCATATCTGTCATAAATCGTAAACCGGCTTTAATCCTTTTTTCCAGCTTGTCATCGAAATGGCCAAACAGTTCTATGCTTGCAATTGGGTCCCTTCCCGGGTTACTGAAGAGCAACTGACTGGGTACGTTTTAATTGGCGCTTTAGCGAGCCAAGAAACCATCCACTGGAGGGTCCCCAGTCCAAAAAATCCTCCTGAGCCCCAGAATGGAGAAGTAATTGTGTTTACTGATCATCTAAATCAAGGGTTCAGTCCTCCTGAATGAAAATTCTTCCGTGATGTGCTTGCTAGCTTCCAGATCCGCCCTCAAGATATTGGACCAAACTCTGTGTCCAATATTTGCAATTTTCAATTATTTTGCAAAGTCTATCTGCAAGAGGAACCCATTGTCGAGCTATTCCGGGACTTCTTTTACTTAAACCATCGTACTGAATTTACGGACGGGCCCAACACTGAACTTGGCGGCTTTTCAATCCAGAAGAGAAAGGATGTTGACTTTCCTCACGCCAAACATCATAGCCACCCCAAGGACTGGAATCAGACTTGGTTTTACTGCCGCAACACAGCTCCGGATGATGAAAATCCTCTGCCGGGTTATCGTGCGTACCGGCTTACCAAAACTCATCCGGTTCCTCAACGATTAACTACCAAGGAACGATCAAAATATGCCCCTCAGCTATCAAAACTCAGAGCTTTTGTTGCAAATGGTCTGACAGGCGTTTATTTTGTTCGATGCTGGGTTTCTTGGAGTATTCTGCCTTTAAGCCGACGCCCCGGTTTAATGTGTGAATACACAGGGGATCTGAAAGACCCTCAACGTCATATTGACATCCAGCTCACTGATGATGAAGTCACTGAAGCTGTCAAGAAAATGCTTGATGAACCGGTGGCTGCATGTAGCAGAGTAGGGCTTAGTCCCTTCTGCGCGTCCAACAAACCGCCAGCTGTAAGAATTGCCTCATTTTTGTCTTAATTCGCCCCCTCTTAAAAACTCCTTTACAATTCGTTGTCCATCTGTGCAGGGTGATGATCCGTTCTGGAAGAGGAAATCACAAGATAAACCGGCGAAGCCGCAGGATAAACCGGTGAGAGCGCCTCGCGTCAAGACCAGGGTTACAAAGAGGCTAGCAAAGAAGAAAACCACCGAGGCCTCTGACCTGCCCAATGATGAAGAGCTTGATGACCTGGAGTTGGAGGTAGAACTTGACTCTCTTGGTTCTTTTTCCATACATCTCATTGATAATGATTATTATCAGGATGATGCGGAAGCTAGCCGCGCTGGTGATGCAGAGATAATTGTTCTATCTTCCGACTCAAATCATGTACCAGTATAAAAACTCCGTCGAGCAGTCTGGAAAGTAAAATATTCACACCTTCTTGCTTATTCGGATCCACACTTTTCTTTGAAGACACAACAGCATGAAGCTCGCTGCACAACTTGGCATAGCGGCCAATTGGTGACCTCCTCTGGTTTACCGAACTCTCCGGTTCGAAAATGCCGCCAAGAGGTTTCTTATATTCCTGACACACTTTATCCTAAAACGGGTCACTTCCGATATCCTCTTAATCCGTCTGATTCAAATTATCAGGGAACCTCCCATTCATCATCCGACGAGTCATCTACCACACAAATGCCTCCACTCAAGACTGTTCCTGGGTAAGTATATTATACTTAACCCTTTATGCCTTGTACTGGTTTATTGTACTAACCTCTGCATCTATTTTTTGGGTGCCAAAGCCAGAGTTAGCAAGAAAGCCAAACTGACTAAACCAACTGATGATAATCCGGCCACTGAACCGAAGAAGACCTCAGAGGCTCTTGATCAGAATGCTGATATTATCCTGGATGATCCGGTACCTCAGGCTCAGGACACTTTTGCTGAACGGGAGAGATAAATCCGACAATCCAGTCTGCTGATCTGCCAAGCCCATATGTCGATCCACCAAGCCCGGCAAGAACATCTGATAAACCACCAAGCCCAGCCAAAACTGTTGATGGCACCACAGATGATGTTGTGATTACCGGTTTTGGTCATACTGCTCCTGGCAACCCTGTCGCTTTATCAAAGCATAGTGCCAAGGAAGAATTTTCTGCTGTGGCCAAGGGCAAGTGGAAAACAGATTTATATGCTCAGGACATCCACTCTGGATATTTAAACCATCTGTATACAAGCCGCGATTATGAAGCCGGTTTAGTAGGTCTGATGAAAGAGCGATATGAGGTAAATATCTATTCCTTTTGCACAAATTTTCTTTCCTTAGAACTGGCTTAGAATATCAACTCCAGTGGCCCCCAAGGGCCGGTTCATAAAATTATTGTGAACTGGGATTTGTAGTAGAATAATATTGATTTTTTGCTGGCGTAGCCCCCAAGGGTCGGTTTATACCTTTAGG